GTTGAAGGGCCGGAACGTTGTAATAAATATAGCGACAAAGATGAGAAAAATAGTCCGAATAATGTAAATAATGTACATAATACTTCATCCCAGAAATATAGACAGATAATAATTGCAACTTTTTTTTTCTATTTATTTATTTATATATTCATTTTTTAAAAGTTTTTTTTGCATCCAAAAATGGTTCAGTACTAATTCAGTAATAACTGTCCATTAAGTGAAATAGCCTTGTATTTTAATCTTACGGCATTCGTGTATCATGCTGGCTAATATTCATTTCAAGATTCTTTATGAAATCCAAATAAGCTTCTTCGATGTAATCTCTCCTAACCTGTCATTTCAACTTCTGTCACATTCTCAACGACTTTACGTTGCTTCCTTCTGTCTTTTCTGTAAATATGGCGATTGTTCTAAGCTTTCCTGTATGTGTTTAAGCGTTCTGCTCGAGTGGTAATTAGGTCTCAAGTATGAACCTGTAATAAATATAATTACAGACACAGAACTTTCATCTTCTACAAACAACAAAAAAACAATTGCAAAAACAAAATCAGAATTCACTGGCCTACCAAATTCAAGAAGATTTTTTTTTAATTATTTAAATTTACTTTATTTTACTTTATTTTTATTAAATCGTTCTGTACATTGAATTAATTATCATTTATGGAACATTTTCTACATTTTCATACGTACATAGGTGTATACACATACATGTATATTTTTTTAATAAAAAATTCCAAATCCAGGTAGAACTCAATTTCCAGGACAGAGTAAGAATATAATAAAAAGGCTTAAACACTAATATTCCATGGTCATAATTTATTCCACTGGAATCGTAAATAAATCCAATTCATCAGACCTACAAATTATGAATAGAAGAAAAAGACATGACTGTATTTAATTCATGTCTTTTTTCTTCTATTCATACTGTCCTTTCTACCGATTATATCTGAGAATACACGCACACACACATACATACATATATACATACAAACATAAATACATATATATAGTCAGCCACAGACAGATTGTTTCGCTGTATCACTGCTCATCAGTGTGACTAGACATGAGACTACTTCAAACCGGGATCGAAACCCGACCGATTTGGCATCAGTTAGAGTTTCTTCCCAAAGCTATCGTCACAGGTAAAATGAGAACAAATGAAGTATAATTCCACTGTACGTAACACTTGATTTAAAAGAGTGCTCAATATAGAGTAGAGCTAAATATTATTTACTTTAGGGCATTAAAATGTGTTAAATATCGCATTATGTTAAATTACCTCCCCCGTCTATTCCACTTTTACTTAGGAAAATTGAACGTCGGACTTACGAAATAATGTAACAACCTATAACTGCCTATAAGGAAATTGAACTTCGTGTTATGATCTATATTACAATTTTTTCAGTAAATTTAATTTAGCGTAGGTAACATTCGATTGGTTAATCACAGCAAAACCCACAAGCCTATTTTTTTTAAATATTCCTCTTTTGAAATTAAATTAATCTTTCACTCGCCAAGACTTAAACATTTTATCGTTGAAGCATAACTAACATTGTGTAGGGATTTTTAACATGTTTTAATATCCTAACATACACACACACACACACACACACACACATATATATAATTCTTTATTTAAAAAAAAATTATAACATAATTATGTTATAAAATCACTACAAAAATAGCCATTTTGTTTCAACACCCACGGTGTCTTATCAAGTGATGATGTTGAATGTAAAATAAATGGTTTTAAAAGTTTCAAATTAATTAACAATCCTTCACAAGGGGAAAACGTTGTTACAAAATCTAATCAAATACAAGTATAGGAAAATTCAAAAAGCTTGACAACGAAGTCATGTTATAATAGCTATTCAGATGTTTACAATATGGGTAGTATTAAAAAAGAATTTATTCTAACCAATAATTACTAAATTATATGATAAAATGTAATAATAAAATTAAAAACTGCTAATTTCAAAGTCAAAATTTAATCGCTATTAAGTTTACAACTATAAAATTACTGAGGAGAAAAGAAGAAATATATATGTTATTCAATTTATTTCTTCATTGAAGTTACTTTAGCTAATTTTATATCCGGTCGTTTGACAATGTATACATTTTAATCCTATGAGTGTGTGAATGGGGTCCTAAACTCACGCGTAAAACAAACGCAATCAGATGATAATATAAGCACCTAGACATATATATATATATATATATATATATATATATATATATATATATATATATATATATATATATATACACACAAATAGAGACGAGACAGAGAACATCTCCACGATCGTTTATAAAAAAGAATATATATATAGCTAATACCCTAACACTATATATATATATATATATATATATATATATATATATATATATATATATGGGGGGGTTAGTCATTTTTTGTTTTTATCAAGACAAGTGAGTAATAAAATTCAGGGTATTAATACAGGTGTACATATGTACATTATCCAAGTCAAATAATGATTTAGTATTTGGGTAAACTTTTGCTTTAATAACGGCCTTAATTCTTAGTGGCATGCTATAAACTGATTTATTTATTAAGTCAATGTCCTATGCCAGAAGTTTCTAGCATTTCTTTAATTCTCGAAAAGCTCATCTTCTTTGTTAGGTTGCCTATTAAAAGAACGCTTTTCCATTATCGCCCTTTTTTTTTTCATTTTGAATACGGTCAGGACTCTGACTAGGCTACCGGAAGAGTTGCAATATACACTCGTCCCGCTTCCTCTACAGATAAAGTTTATTCTTTAAGGCAGTATGCTTAGGATCGTTATCTTGTTGGGATGTGAAGCGTTGACCTTGGGCAAAAGGTTGTTTTTTTTAGCAAAAAGCCATATTTGATTAACAAGAATGTTGGGGTATTGATGCTGGTTCATGATTACCTTGATTTTGTACAAATTATCAAATCCTGCTGCTAAGAATGCAACCCAAGCATTGATTTTTTTATCGTGTTAAGAGTGCCCTTGGTAATCACTGGAGTATTCGTTTCAGCGGGCGTACAACAAACACTTATTAGTCCTTCATATCTTAGAGTAAAGGGTCTTTCTTCACTCCACATAAATATCTTCCCAATCAGATTTAATCCAGTCTAAACGAGTTTTGCACCGAGCTGAACGTACTCGTCGATTTTTTTCCAGATACGGAAGGTTTCTTTTTTTTAATATTTGGAAACTGTTATAGGGTCCTCCCCTTTTTCATATAAGTGGACTCGACCAAAGTGTTACTTGGACTGCTGCCGTTAAATACCCAGAGCTAGACAGTCAGCAAGGGAGTATACAGAGAATATACGAACGGAGATAGAGATTGTGATAGAGTTGGAGGTAGAGTAATAGTGTGAGGTAGCCTCTTGTAGAAGTCAGTTTCAGAGCACGTAGACTCTAAGGAAGTCCTACTTCTAGACTGTATATATCTATCTGTATTTGCTACTAACCGCGTTCCTGGATTTACTAAAAGTATTACCCTTTGTATTATTGTGTAAATACATTTTATTTCTTATATCAATTCTTGCGTTTGTTTATCATTGAAGACCGAATTTCATCTCGGAATCCACAACAGAAACAATGCCTCTTGATTTAAGCCTGCGTGTGACTGTTCTTGAAGAAATCGTCAAACTAGCAGCTTTGGAAACATCTTGTGTTGTTGCGAATCGATCTCAAGTTTCTATCTTCCTTGTCAGTAGTTTTTAGCCTTCGGCCAGATCCTGTGCGTCTATTATATGTTCCAGTTTGATTTCTCTTTTTGATTAACTTGCGGACACATGAATCACTTCGATTAATCTTATCAGTTCTTATTCTATTCGACAGCTCAACATCATGAAAAGCGGCCACTTGACCTTTCTCGAAGTCAGAACAATGCTTAGACATGTTAATAAATGTAAATACAAATGTAATAAGCTTTATATTTTGTTCATCATCATTTCCATGGGATACTATATATATATATATATATATATATATATATATATATATATATATATATATATATATATATAATCTTACTATGACCTATATTTTATAATTCAATGTTGCATAAAATATGTTTCACATCTTTTTTGAAATGCGTATCTTGGGTTATTTGTGCCCTTCCATTCATCGTGTTAAGCTGTCAATGTATCATGTATGTATTAATGACTATAATGGGTCTTGGGGAATGGTAAAAACGAAAATATTTCCGCACTATGCACCTCACGATGTCATTAAAAGCTGTGATATTGCCATTTCTTATCATATATCGGTTAATGAAACCAATTCTTTCATCCTCATAGCGAATTCCGAAACTTAGCTTAGATGTGCCCAAAGCCGAAAGTATGAGCCACCCAGTGAGGATCTAACTCACTGCTCAGTAGTAATTGTTCTAGCGAAACAAGCTTGCTAACCATTATACCTACTCGAGGTCCCGTTCGTTGTTCCTGATATCTCAGCAGCACAGATACCGTATGCCAAGTTGGAGTCCCTAGTTTAAAAACAACGATCACATTGGGGAAACATGTTTTTTTAAAGGGGTGTTTATTTTTGAACAACACATTTTCTGGCATTATCATATGGATCGTACGTTTCTTGGACATGGCTCAAGGCAATAAAGCAAAAGCCAAAAAATACTAACCATGCATAGAGTTAGAATTTAATCGAGCTATCTCATTATGTTTTTTGTCATAAGGCATAAGACAGAAATCCATAATTCTATATGTGGAGCTCCATTACTCATATGCTACTAATATGTCCGTAAACAGAATGTACATCATAAAGGTGTTGGCCTTTAGCCTCTTTTTCTCTGTTATCGTATTACGCTTGTCCATTTCTACTACTAACGAGATTCGGCCTTCATTTCCGTAAGCATCGATAATCTATCAGCTATTTATCAATATTTGCCTATCAGCCTGAATTCGATTCTCGGCCACACGTATGCAGATCTTCAGTCCGAATATTAATTGGCCTACGATTTCCCGTAATGGAACGGTGTTAATTAGGCAGATTCTTCAATTTCTATTTCGAATTGCTGGTGTTCTTTGATGTCTTCTCTTTCCCTCTCATCAAGGGACGTTCTTTTGTACTTCTTCGCGTTTTATGACCTGTCTAATTTTTCTATTTAACTATTTATTAGGCTTATTTTCGTGCATCTAAATAACAAATGGGAGCTAAGCTGGAACGAGGAACATTATACTGCGTTAATATCCCCAGCGTAAACGGCCAGCCTACTGTTCACCATTTTATGTAAACTGGATGACAGATATCAATTGCTTATCTATCTATCTATCTATCTATCTATCTATCTATCTATCTATCTATCTATCTATCGATCTATCTATCACAGTTCATATTCATCTATCGCAGTTCATATCTATCTATCTATCTATCTATCTATCTATCTATCTATCTATCTATCTATCTATCACAGTTCATATTCATCTATCGCAGTTCATATCTATCTATCTATCTATCTATCTATCTATCTATCTATCTATCACAGTTCATATTCATCTATCGCAGTTCATATCTATCTATCTATCTATCTATCTATCTATCTATCTATCACAGTTCATATTCATCTATCGCAGTTCATATCTATCTATCTATCTATCTATCTATCTATCTATCACAGTTCATATTCATCTATCGCAGTTCATATCTATCTATCTATCTATCTATCTATCACAGTTCATATTTATCTATCGCAGCTCATATCAATCTATCTATCACAATTCATATCTATCTATCTATCTAAGCCTGTTCAATATCTATCTATCTGTCTATCTATCTATCTATCTATCTATCTGCCTCGGTTCATATGTTTTTATATATGATACTGGTGTATATTTTTCTATTTAAACAAAACTATTTGGGAAAATCTGTTCTTCTGATGCGTTTCGTCGTTTAGGACTAAATTTGTGTTGGTGTGACTTCACAAACGTACAAACAAGGGATGCTGGGTATTTAAAATTATTTCTTTATTATTATTATTATTATTATTATTATTATTATTGCCGATTCAATTTACATTCTTTTTTTGTCCATTTACTAACAAATGTGAGGGTAATAAAACAAATCTAAATCGAATCGGATAAATTTTAACTTCCCATCATCTCTCGCTGGTACTCATGTGTAGTAACACCAACATATCAAATTTGGCCTGATGAAGTCTTAAAGGACGAAACGCGTCTCAAGAAAACGTTTTCCTCTTTGTCGTATATTTTTCATATATACATACACACACACATACATACATACATACATATATATATATATATATATATATATATATATATATATATATATAGTTAGATTCCCAAGATAGATTGGTATCAAATGACAATTGGAAAAACTCTTACATTTTGCCGACGCATTTCGTCTTCCGACTTTTCAAGGCAAAAATGAAATCGAAATGTTTTTGTTGTTATAGTTACATTAAAAATCCAAATTTAAAAAGATAGACGCTTGTGTCTAAGCCTTTTTTTCTGGTTAATGTAAATTACCTTTATAGTAAGAGATTTTTTTTTCCATGTCGACAATATATATAATCGGAGCAGATATATTTTCCTATTGTCTGGTTCACATTCCTCTCTGGTCTTTTGACCAGGAGTAGATATTTACCCCTTGTTTCCGTTTTAAGATTGAATTTCTATTTTCTTTTAAAATCTACTTCCGGATTATACTTTTAATTTCTCCAACTGAACACTGAAATGTTATTCACCAATTAAATCTGGACCTGTTCAAATCTAGATTTAACCATTATCTGTCCACCATAGCCCTCAGTAACTTTACTTCTGACCCTTCCTTAAGCTCATACAACGCAGTACATCCGTAGGTATATAATCCAAGTGGATCCTAATAATATAAAATATTAAAACTAATCCACATAAAGAGCTCAATGGATTTATTATAACAGAGCATATAAATTACATAACAGAGAAATCCAAAATTACCTCATGAGTATAGAATATTTCGAGTCAAATAAGGCTGACGCACTCGTCGTTAGTTGAAATAGCGTATACTAATGAAGTAATTTTGATTTCTCTGTTATGCAATTAATTAATATATATATATATATATATATATATATATATATATATATATATATACTATCTATGTTGTCTGTCTGTGTGTCTGTCGTGGGCGTTGTTACCTCGCCCAGGCCGCATTTCTCACCGATTTCAATGCAATTTTCAACAGAAGTTTGCAAATGGCTGCAGTAAGGACATGACGGGGCCCAATTTTTGAGTTCGGAATCAGGTTCCGAAAAAATCGATAATCGAAAAAATTTTGCTTACAGAAGGAATGATCGCATTTCAACCAAATTTGACACCCTCTTAGAGTCTACCATTAGAAGTGTTGTCCAGAAGTTTCATGACCACGGACCCCTAAACAGCGCGGAAAATCGATAAAACCCAACAACCGATACGCCCAGATTACGTGTGAACCACATGTCGGTTTTTAGCGAAATCCGAGCGGATTTATGAAGAGGCCATTGGGAGTC